TGCTGGATAGATCCTAAAAATAAGAGATTCAGAATCAATAGATATGCCTTTTCTTTCTTAAACGTTCAAAAGAAGTTCAACTTGCACAGCATACATGACCTGCCAAGTATAGTATAAAGAAAAAAAGTCTTTTCTTTCCCCAAGTACAAACACTGCCATCGTGAACAACTCGGTTTCATCGAAGTTCAGGGTAAGCCTCAGTATGATTAATAATTGGCTGTCTTTGCTGTCATCTTTGATCCATACCCTTTTACACATACTACAAACAGCATAACTGAAACAGAACACCATATTTCAGACTGCTGTTAAAGTTTGAGTTTCTGTGCAAATCAAAAAACTAATGACAAAACAAAAAAGTTCTTTGTCAGATTCCTCTTCCCACTGCACTCTCTAGGGAACTCCAATGGAATTCATTTTACAATTTCCTAAATGCAGGATCAGACCGCTGAAGCTCCTGCTAGAGGTGGCTGGAGAGCAAACATAATAATCTAACTGACATCAGCCACAAAAAGGGCAGCACAAACTATTACTTAGTATGATCACATTCACAAATTCAGGCATTTATGGTGCAAAAGGCTGTAACATCTGTTTACTTTTCTTTTGTGCTACCATAATTTTTTTTTACTGAACTCAATTAAATTGTAGAAACAAGTCCATTCCTACTAAAATAAAAAATTGTTTATAGGCCCCAATATATTCTAATGGGAAAAAATAAATAAGTAAATAAATAAAAATAAATGAAACACCTTCTATGGAAAAGGTAGGCTAAGCCAAACCAAGATGAATCTAAAGGAACATGCCTTGTTTTGGAAGCTAATTCTATTTGATATAATCTTCAACATGCCTCCCCAAGCTTTAAACCAAACTACGCTGCTCATTTTTAGTGGGTCTTGAATCACTTAAAAACATGGTCCTGATACAGCTTCAAAAAAGATAATTGCTCTCTCAACTACAAAGCAGACATTTCAAGTTACATTTGAATATTTACTATGGAGACAGAGGGCAATTATCTTTTTTTTTTAAAACCACCTCATTTCTTCTAATTCAATACCCAATATTTTTGTATATTTTTTCAGTTTGATTGCCTTGCGAGTCTTCTTGTGCCCTTAGCAACATGGAGAAACCCCAATGAGTGTGTCCTCTAAACCACTTAACTTAGTGATCTCAAACTTGTGAAACAAAAGTACTATTAAAACAAAGCTGAGGAACAAAAAGTTATGCTGCATGGCATTCAAAAATCCATTATAAAAAGAGAGACTAGTCTATATACCTAGGACCTTTCACATTTTTTTTTTTTGAGTCTCACTAACACAGGAGATATACTATACCCATTTACTAGCAATCATTCCTCAAATATAATGTAAAAACTAAGAAGAAAAGTTTGGAAATGACTCCTATAAAATTGGATACACACCCATAATTTTTCTGCTCACTATTTTTCAAGGCGTCTCCAGCTTCACGATACTGGGGTAAATCCCAGTGAAAACAAATGGCAATTTCTTCAGAGTTTTTTAATGATGAATTTGCATTAGGTAGGGAGGTAAGAAGTCTTCAGGATTCCTATAAACTGTATCACTCTTCAAGAAGTTTGGTTCTAATGAAAGTTTTAAGAATAAAGAACATCATGCTGAAAAGAAAGCTAGGATAGCTTAAATCAAAAACTATTATTAGTGAATTCTGTAGTTACTATATTTGCCTGAATCCAAGACAACCCTGAATTTAAGATGACCCTCTAATAATTGGATTCTATACAAGGAAAATGGATGTGTATTATAATTTTCCATGTATAGAAGCTAACTTTTAGAAGGTTGTCTTAAATTTGTCCCCTGTACTACTGATGCAAAGAAAGCAGCATAAGAGGGAGGAAGGGTGTGTGTGTGTGTGGGAGGCGGTTGAAGCAGCCTGAACCCTGCCCCTTGCCACCTCCACCTAATTTGCCTCCGCTGCTGCCTGCCCCTCCCTGCAGTGCCTGCAGACCACTGCCTCTGCAGCCCCACCTGCCCAATGCAGCTTCTGCCCCCTACAGCCTCTTACCGTCAAGCATAGTTCCAACCCCATTCCAGCCAGGGGTACAGGGCACAGGGTAGCCCCAGCCCAGCTACACAGTAGGGATTACACTGGCTACAGCTCTGAATTACCAAAGCTGCTGTCAATGTCACCACTGTCACATGGCTGGACTGGGCCAGAGCTACCCTACACTCCATGTCCCCTGCCAGAATTCGATGGGAGACATACCTGAGGGTAAGCTGGGTTGGGGGCATGGGCTGCTGTAGCTCCAACTCTGACCCTGAGCTTGGATTAGAGCCACAGCAGCATCCTGCTCCACACTTCATCTTGTAGTTGAATCCAAGACTAACCCCTCCACCTGCCTTGAACGGGGGAAAAAAGAGCTTGTGGAATCGAGTGTGTTATTCACTTGTATAGTCGTTAATAAATTAACTTTGTTGTAATAAACTCATCATTTTTCACAGATTTTGGAAAAACATGTATTTAATTTGTTTGCTTCAGGACAGCAGGGCATTTCCATTTTTAACAAGAAACAAAATGGATTTCATATTTCACTCCCAATATTCAATAATGTTTTGCCCAGTTTGCCAAATTAAATTATGAGAAATCAAATTCCAGTTTTACCAAAATAATTCGCCTGCATGAAATTAGAAAGTAAAACTGTAGACCAGTGGATCCCAGTCTGTGGTACAGGTACAACCAGTGGTTTGCAGACAACCTGTCAGTGGTATGCATTAACAGATTTATTATAATTATTTTATATGACAAACATTTGCTGGTGGTACTGAAGGCAGCATCATTTTAAATTGGTGGTACGCAATCAGCCAGAGTTTGGGAACCGCTGCTGTAGACTGATTTTCCAACATTAACATTTTGTGCCAAAAGCATATCTTGCTCCATGTCACAGTGTCAATTCAAGTTTCAAACGTACACATTCAAAATGTAGGGAACACAGGGCATATTAATGAACTCTCCCCCTGCCTGTTTTTTTTTTGTTTTAAATGTGGCATATATTATCTGACCACAACACACACATGCGCGTAGCTAAGTCATTCAGATCTTCATTTCAATACATCCAATACATAAACTGCAGTTTAATAAACAGCCAGTTTGTAATGGGGAGGTTGGTGAGCAGACATTTCAACTACCCCTGGTGTCGAGGTTGGGAGGAGGGGAAGTTACTTCTTAAAGCACCATGCCTCCTGTATTCTTAGAGATTTTTCTTCCTCCAGTAAGTGTCTCTTTGTCCTATCATTTATATCTACTAAAAAAAAGGCTGCCTGACTTCATCAATGTTCTATATTAAAATAGAGATGTTCACACATACACAGTCAATTCGTTTTCAACTCTTCTTTTTTTTTTTTTTTTTTTTACCATTGGTATCAGATCAAATGATCAGCAAAAGTACATTCCTTCAAAATAACAAAACAAATCATTTGACTACGGTAGAGGTGTTTCACTGTGCACTGCTGCATGCTGGCTTCTGACCAAGCATTGTATTTTCTTTTATGGTTTAGCTAAGCAAACACACATGTATAAAAAGAAATTCTAATATTATAAAAGCCTTTGTCTGTCAGTAACGCTTTATTCACACTCTGGTTGGTTGTCTGAAACAGCCAATCAGAGGACTTCAAGAGAGTTCTGGACAGGAGGCAGCGGTGGAGCACCGCTATGACAGTGGGGACAGAGCAGGGGGGTGGATGGCCTTGCACCCTACTAACCCTGCACCCTTGAAGCAGTGACGATGGCAGGTGGAGTGGGCCCAGACCCCAAGTGGTGGCAGGAGGGGAGGGGAGGGGACCCAGACCCAATGTGGCAGGGGGCGAGGGAGGAGTGGGCCTGGGCGTGATGCAGAGGGGGAAGAGGGGAGTGGGCCTGAACCCCAAGCGGAGGGGGTAGAAGGGGGCGGGGGGAATGGGCCCAGGTGTGGGGGGTGGACACAGGGCTCCATCCCTCCCACCCCACTCCACCTGGCATGCTTGACAGGCAACTTGCTACTATAGAATATTGCCACAAATTGTGCGCAACACATACAAAATACATACCAAATAAAATTTCTGCAACATTTTAGAAGAGAAGATGATATGATAAAATTAGAACTCCCCTGAAATAAATAGCTAGCTGACCTGGATGATTGCTGATATTTAGTATACTTTTCTAGACTGAATAGGCTTCTATCAATTCAGCAGTTCTTGTAATTTCTGTAGAACAGAAAGTAGAGGTTACAGTATTTTAAGAGTTTAAGCTACAGAGAGAAAACTCCTAACCTTGATTTTGTTTGAACAGGAAATGAAGCAACAGGCATAGAAGTTATACAAGTAAACAGTAATGTCCCAAATATTAATTATTCATGAGCTTCATGTTTACAGCCACATAGAATTCAATGTAATCCTACTGTGCAAAAGTTACCTGACAAAGAAATACTGCAAAATAAGTGTCTTTAATTCTGCTACAGGCAAACCCATGTAAAATTATTTAGATTTTAATGTTCTTCCTACAAGGCGAGAGACATGCTATTAAATAACTTAACAAAAAGTTAGGTCTTTGGTTTTCTATTTTCCTTCCCAGTACCCCACGACCAGAGTGTAAAAAGCCTTTTACCCTAGCTCTATGCCTGAGTATAAGGACTTCAAAGAGGGTGAGGACTTCAAATAGCAATACAGGCAAGAGTCAGTACATTTTAATGCTGAAATGAACGAACTCTGGCCTGGCAGCAGGCAGAAAAACTGTTTAACACAAATGAGTCACATCATAGGTATATCTCCTCCTGCTCTGGTCTTATGCACAATGAAACTACATTGAATTTGGGCCCGAAGGGTAATGTAGAGATAAATGGCAATGGGAAAAATGTAACGTGTGCTGCAAGAAAAAAAAAAATTAAACGCTAAAGAAATGGCAAGTCTTAAATGCGGGGGGAAAAAAGACAATATTTTATAATCCCTGGAAAATTAATAGGCAAGAAGTAGAAAGAAGATTACAAAAGGTAATCATACCTAATAACTTCTTCCATGATTTGATGAGAGACTTTGCTAAAGATGTAACTTCTTCATCTGTACTTTGCTTGCGTATTGCATTCACTGACATTCCAATTCTTGTGGACTGCAACAAAGAAAGCTATGCATTACACTCCATAAAATGGAGACAATTTAAAATGGCAATAAAATGGTGGTGTATTTTGTAAAAATGCCATGTAAAATCTGTTCAAACACCCAGTCAGCTGAGTCCTAATGAATCCAATGAAAAACAGGGTAAATTGCAGATCCTTACAGATTTTATACTCACAGGATAATCTACACATTTATACAAATGAATTTCAATACACTTTTCACTTAGCAGCCTAGGGGTGGAGGGCTATTAAACCATAAGACTTGAGCTCCTAAGTCACTTGGGGGAGATTTTCACAAGTGCATAGAACTACTTACCTGAATCTTAATTAGGAAATATCTTAATTAGGAAATTTAAACTAATTATGCAACTCGCTCACTTTCAAACAGAATTTTAAATGCTTGTGTTAAAGTTTATGCTCCCAAAGAACTTACTTTGAAACAACAGTAGAATTTATGTTACAGGAAGCAGCTGGAAAGCATTTGTTCCTCAGTAATTTCAACATTTTAAAAATTCCCCATACGTTGGGATGCATTTTAAAAACCCAACATAAAAAACACCAATGGTGCAGCTCCATAAACGTTATTAATACTGTTATGTTTTATCTTATGACAGCAGACATTTCTCTGTAAATGTAAAATAAAATTAGTCTGCTGCTTTGAAGCTACCACTCAGTCAGTATCAAACATTTAAACTCAGTGTGCTACTGCCATCTACAGCTTCTGCTGACTTATAAAAAGAATGGATCATAGATGGGGTGTAACTGAATCCAATCAAAGTAATTTGCTATTGCTTCTTGTAATACACTCCAGTTATTTAGGAGTCCCACTAATATAATAAGATGCTATTCTACTTTTCCCTGAATACTTGGGGACTCCAGTTAAAAAACAGAAGATTGGCAGCCCAGGAGATGGCTCCCAACTCCAAAACACCAATGTGCATTTTTAAAAAAGTAGAAGTCCAGGAAACATGACCTCCTCACAGTTAAAGGAGACCCCCAGACTAGGTTGGATGCATCTTAGATGACAGTCATAGGAACAATGGTTAGTCCTCCACAGCACTGTATGTACAGCACATACCAGGAATAACTTTTTTTTAAATGAACATTTTTCAAAACTGTCTGACGTGAGTTCGTAATTTTTGCTAGCTAGCATTGCAGACACCTCATTTTAAGCTGTATATAAAGCTCTACACAGAGCTGAAGCCTTTAACCTTACCATGAGAAAAAAGATAAATCTGCTCTGTAAACTGCTGTAAAGGAGTTATAGCTGACCATACATTTATGCAGCTTTTTCTGGCAAAAATTACGAAAGTTTTTTCTGTGTATGGAATCTTTCATTTGCAACTTTTCAGTGGGACACTTAGCCTGTCAAAGAGGAAATACAGGTGGAACATGGCTGTAAATAGATCCTTTCTTGACAAGTTTTGATCAAATAAAAGTAGACTAAAACCTTGTTTTCCCTGTAAGTGTGCTGTATCTGATAGGCATTTTGTAAACACTTGGAGGAAAGCAGAAAGACTGGACAACAGAACCCTGCATTGGAAAAGATCCTCCATCCGTGTAAAAACATGGATATTTGTAGTGAAATGGTCTTATGGAGATGCGGAAACAAGTATCACTCAAACAGAAAGTTGCAAAATCTGTCCTGGGTTGAAAGGAAGGGGAAACATGAGGGAAGCCAGGGAAAATATGAAGAACTAAATTTTTTCTTAATGAATGAATTAAAATATCCCGAGGTCCAATTTGTGTTTTAATTTTAAGTACCTTGAGTAAAACACTTTTCCTCTGAAACTCCTTAGTACCTCCTCTATAGCACCTGCTGATAGAGGGAGAGAACAGGTCTCAACAGGCTCTTGTGGGAGAGGTCCCTGAACAAGAAAAGGGAGGAAGAAATTGGAAAGAGAAAGGGTCTTGAACTTAACATCACATCCACTGTATACTAACTCTAAAAATCTACCTGTCTACAGTGAATGAATCCTGTTTGTCATCAAAAGTGATGCAGGTGTTTTCCAAATGTGAAAGAAAAATGGGGAGTAAGAATTAAAATGCAATTCTTAGTTCCCAGTTATTAAATCAGAGTCCCTGCCACTTTTCCCTACTACTATGGGGTAAACTGAAAACCTGCACTTATCTTTTACAGCCTTGCCCTCAGAATATTCAGAAACCATGCGTCAAGTAGCAAAAGGGTGAGATACGCAAGTGCTCTGATGGGTGCTGTCAATTTGAATGTCATTATTTGAGTTGCATGTAGGCCACCCACCTCAAGTGGGAATATACAAAAGATGCTTGAAGAATGAAAAGCTTGGGGAAACGCATGGAACAAAATGTTAGGTAAATAAGTACAGCTTACACAGAGCACTAGCAAAAAGTTAAATTATATTTTTCCTCTGTTATTTAAATGCTAAAAACTTAAAAGGTATAATGTAATGAATTAAACTGCTCAGCCACCATCTTAACAAGATATTCTGAATCTAATTTTGAGGGGACAAAAATGGCATGCGATGAACTTGTTTCTTAATCCTTCTACTAGTTTGTCTGACAGGTTACCACAACCCTGAGGAAGACCATGCTTGTTTGAAACATGAACCAAGGAACCAAATGAGAAACCATCCATTAAATGGCAACACATAACCCCCATTTCTTAAAGAGAGACACTTGGTTCATGGAGCACATGACATAAAGCCTTTTGTTTGACTCCATCCTGCCAATTATTTTAGCTTTATATTTATCATATCCTACATTAACTTTGTCATGAGGTTCAAGAAAAAAAATTATAAAACTTCTTTGGCATACTGGTACTATTTAGGTATGGCATTTTCTGGCACATCAATTTGAAGTTCAGCAGTACAGAGGCAAAAGGGGTTAGCCTCAGTAATACAGACCTGGGGTTTAAAAATCAACATTTCTCTCTAACCACAGGTTGAAATCCAAATAGTCAACTCACTCCTTGACTGTCTGATTTGCAAAGATAGCAAACTATTATGCGATCAAAAGTGCAGAGTTTATCCTGGTGTTCTGGAGCAAAATTTTGCCTTCCTCTCTCTCTCTCTTTTGTTCACGGTTCTATGCACCAGCTATCTACATGACTGCCTTTCAGCAATGAAAAAAATCAAGTGTTTTGTAAAGAATTGTTGAAGTTTTAACAGACTTTCTTTCCACATGCAAAGTGTGTTACATATAAAGGAAGATAATTTTAAGTATGTTTTGCAATGTTAATTCAGTTACACTACGTACAAGTAGTCTTTTCAATTCCCCTTTCCTATTAAGTGCAACACATTTTTTACAAATGTGTATATTGCTTGTACAACACAGCAAGACTTAACTTTACCACTGAACCTTTACGGTGCACTTCCTGGTTAATTTCATCTGTGCAACTTTATTGCTGAATTGCCGTTTGGGAAAATTCTGTTCGTCTCTCTCGCTTTCTCTCTCAAGTCCTCTAATTAAAAAGTGTCATAGTAGCAATTAGTTGAGAGGAGCAATATGTACTGTGATGTCATCAAGGAAACAAAGCCTCATTAGACTATAGCAATCATAGCTGTTTATTGTGTTTCCCTGGTATTATATATCCAATTATTTGGGCCCCAAAAACTTGCTCACTGCTGAACCACTATTGACAAGCACTAAATACATGCCAAGTTTCAAAGTCCATCTCCTTTTAACTTTACAAATAATGTGTGGCAACTATTGTATACAAATCTTTTCCAGTCTTGGCATCCACAAAACAGCCAAAGAAGATTTCCCTTAAACTCGCAACTGCCAGAAATTAATTTTTCAGACAAAGCTGGTTTACCAAACTAATTCTGAAATAAAAATGGAATTTTACCTGAAACAGCCTTCAACGTTAATTATGGACTTTGCTTGCTTACAAGCACTAAAATTAGGGCAAAGCACAGCATTGTTACTTTTAAAATACTGTTTCTGCAAGTGACAATATAAAGAGATTTTTTACAAGATCTAGCAAATTCAAGCATCAGATTTCCATCTCCGCTTTCTAATTTGTGATTTAATTAAAATTTTAATTATCTATCACAATTAAAGGGATGCAGGCACAGCTCTAAAAGAGCAAAACTAAAGTGTGATTACTTCATGGAGATGAAGAGTAACAAGGAAGTTAGGATTCCTCACACCTACCTGTACAACTATATAAGACAGTAGCGCTGGTTACACCTCCAGATCTCAAAGGGAGGTAGCATGCCATACAGGGTAGGGGACCACAGCATGTTAATCTCCTTTAATCAGAAAAAGGGAACATAGGAGGGTTGTGCCTTTGGTGGACGTCTGAGGCACAAGATCATCTCTAAGACAATACAGTCTATAAAGTGACCCTTGTTCAGACTGCATAAATGCACAAGGTTTCCTACACCATATTATTAAATTAAGACTGCTTTTAAAAGCTTCTATATGTGCTTACCCCTGGCAAATAGCAATTCTAAGATGACTGCCCAAATTGAACCAGAAAACAATCATCTCCCTTATAATAACTGTTGTTCTGTTGGGTTGGCTGTCTAGACACCCCTTACTGTAATGCATGCTTATAACAAAACTAATAGGCACTGTTTCTGTTATTAAACCCCCCCACATACACACACACACACTTAAAACAAAAGCAACAAAAAAACGTACCTGTAACAACTCAAGAGTCATGGGAATATTCTTAAGCTCCTTTAATAAATCCAGAGCTCCAGCCTGCAAAGCATACATAGAAGTATTATTCAAAGTACAGTTTTCTTCCTACACAATTAACTTCTAAAAAGTTTAGCAGCAAACAAATTCAGCTCCTACAACACAACTCCTTCCTTTTGCTAGAGGCATGAGTGTAATAATTCTGAAGTGAGCGTGCCCATTTCTAGACTCCAGCATCATACTTTAGCCCTGTGATGGAATTACAACTTTTGGCACGAGAGCTGTTCTGTACTGTATCACTTCATCCTTAATTTTTCCACTTTAACGTTTATTTGACTTGTATCTCACCCTCTTCAAAAAGGCTCAGGGAGGCTTACAATAAGAACAAGATAAATTAAAAAAACAGATGTTAAAGTAAAATAGTAAATAATATACCAATTCCTCAAACAACATCCCAGAACTTCACTTCGTGCTACTTAATGCCATTTTGAGGTGGTTACAGCCATATTAATACCTTTGTTTTTAGAAAACAGATTTACAAACAACTCACTTGATTCAACATTGTTCCCCTTTCATCCTTGTGAAATATACTGTGCACCGATTGATTGTTCCCACCCTAGAAAGGCTATATTTTGACTATTGTTTGGCATATAGGTGCATCTTCATCAAAAAAGCTTAACAAAAGGTCAGTTATTTCAAGTCAATTATTTCACCTGATGTCACCCACAGGCTGAAGAAATTAGAGCAGCTAAGGAAAAAAGGAGGAAAAGGTGGGGCATCGGTAGGGAAAGGAAAAACAAGGAGGCTGCCAATTCTGTTACCTTGCCCGTCTTTCTCCTGACTGGGATTAGGAAAGAGGTCCTCTTCCACAAAATTTAGAAGTTCTGTATTGCCATAAATAAGCTCCTATGAAACATAAGCTTCACAGGAACGGAGCTTCCCATTATCCAAGTGGTCACATATCTGAACAGCACCAATACCCTCAACTCTTCCACAAAATCCAGGATCAAAAGAGGCTAGAGGCTTGCAATGTAAGTACACCTGCAGCCTCTAGACTGTTCACTGACACAGCCCCAAACAAACTTCTAGCAATCCAGATTTTATATCAATCTCTAATTAGAGATCATGGGGGAGGAGTACAGCAGAGGAGGTGAAGGAGGGAAAGTAAAACTGTATCTTCATCTGCACTCATGATTCAGAAGCTCAAGAAGTTCTCTCATGAAGTTCTCTCATGTCAACCTATGTAGTCAACCACCATCTTCTAGCAATTTAATATTTTTAAGTGAACGCTAGGCTCTGGCAAGATGCTAGTCTGGAGACCGAAGTCCTTCTGTAGCTAAAATTCAGCACAAGCTACAAGCTGTCTCCATCAGCTCAACACTCTCTCATACCTTAATGTAAAGGAACTTCAGATATGCAAGTTTGGTTCATGTTTTCTGCTAAAGGTACGGGTGACATAACTTACCACTGAACAGAAGGGATTCAGATTTTATCACCGTAACTTGGCCCTCAATAAAGGAGGACTACGTTACCACAATTTAGCTTCCATTTACTGAAAGATAAAAGTCTGCACAAAAGATAAGCTACCACAGAGCTACTGACACACACGAAAGCAGCTGTGTCTGTATACCCATAACTTAAGACTACCAGATGAAGTACAAATTAGTACAGTGCATGGAGTGTCGCATAGACATTTGTTCACTAGACCACAGACCAGTGGGTCTCAACTTTAAAAAATAATAAAAAAAAAGAGAGAGAGTCAGGGCACCCCTAACACCACTTGTTTTTTAAAACATGGTTGCAAAGCAATGTTGATGCTGCCTCATGTGCTGCACAACCAGGATCTATTGCCTTCAAATAAAATTGCCCTGGGTCTGCTGCACAGCCAGCCCAGGAACAGCTGCGTCCTGAGAACACAGCAGTGTCAGCAGACAGGTAAAACTGACCAACATGCACTCTTGTTACGTTAGGACTGTGGTTGGCCTTAAACCAGGCAGGAGCTGCCTTGTGTTGTGTAGCCTTTCCAGATTTGGCCCCTCCTATGCTCCTCCCAGAAACAGATAAGCACAGATGCAATTGTCCCATGTGCCACCATGGCACTAAATAAAATAACTCCTGCCAAAGGCTGTTCAAGTTTCAAGTTTTCAGTTTCGAATCATGGTGACTTTCAATCTGCATGAAGTCATACAGACCCTATTTTTTTTTTTTACCCCACCCTCACCTTTTAAGAGGACTGGAATCTCGATTTCTCAATGTCTACCTCTTCCTCCTGTTAAACAAGTCTCTTTATCTGGGAACAGTCCAGCACTGTATCCCATATCCTGCCTTCCTTCTAGTTCACTAGTGCAATCCTACTCTCTTTACAGCATGAATCTCCTCCTTCCACTATTTTATTTACTTTACTCCATACATGAAGCTGCTGTTTTGTGCTTGTTTAAGTCCCTCCTTCCACCCCATCAACTCCAGAATAATTTATCAACCCCTGTGGAATTGTTAGAGGCACAGCAGCAGAGAGACAACCCTCCTCTACTCTACTGCAAGACCACCAAAAGGATGGGGAAGAGAGGAGAAAGCAGGATTCTTGTGTCAAGTCTGAAGAAACAGAACCTCTTATCCAGGCTGTTTAAAGAAAGCCTTCTAAAACAGGTCTTTGTTTAACTGAAAATTTTACTATTTTTTGGCACCTATCACTTTTACTTATAAAGCCAAAAGTTTTTACTGTAGAGTAACACAGTAAAAGCAAACTACAGAAGAGTAAGTTTCATATTTTTTGGCTTTTATCCACAATCAGACTGGTCAGCTATGCTCTTAAGCACACAAACTGCTAGTGGAGATGATGCAAACAGCAGAAAGAACTCGGCTTGTTTTTCAGATACCAAGTCTAATTTAGAGCACTTATAGGAAAACATCTTGACAGAACTGCAGACACAAAACCTGCTGCCCACGATGCACTTAGCACAATTTAATTAGTAAGGTCACTTTTCTGATCATAACTATGACAAAGCAATAGTGAAAGGGTGTCTCAACTGTGGGATGAATATAACAGGGGTCAACTGTACCAAGCTGTAGCAAACTGTACTTTGATGGCACATACTGCTGGCGACAGACAAATCCTATGACTGTAACAATTCATCCTCATGCATAACTATCCTTGAATCTCCACTGAATGTATTCAAGTAACTGACCTGTGAAATATACTTCTGTAGCATTTTCCATTCTGGTGACTAAAATTAATCTAATATGAATTAATTAATTACTGACAACTCTCCCAGAAAGAGGACCATTCCCCACCCCCCTTTACAGACGTGGAATCAGACACAGACTTCCCACTTGATATATGGTAAAGTCAAGAACAGAAGAACCATGAGGTCCCAATTCTCCCCCCATTTTCTTGTACTGTTTTGTGGGTAAAGTCTTCCCCCTTAGCTGTCTAAAATTGGTTCACTGCACTGAAACGATATACTATATTCTGCAAGAGGCAAATCTGTTCTGAACATTAGCCATTTACTAACCAAAGTACTAAGAAATACAGTTTAATTTGCTTACAGAGGAGCAAAATATTCCATACTTGGGTGCACACACACAGAAAAGAAGAAGAAAACAGTAGCGCATGTAAAGCCTAATTTGTTTGCTAGTGTGAATATGGGGGAAATTACATAAGCTATTCTTAAATATTAGGCTTTAGAACAAATACCCTAATACTGCAGCTTAAAAAATAGCTTAAAACTTACCCAGCTACATATTATTCCATTTATGTTAAACGCAAATCTTTTTATGATGCACAGTTGCACAAGACAGACTGTATTTTGCAAACTGCACACATTTGCAATTTAAGGCATTTGCTTGCATTAAAATGTTCAAACTACTCAAAAAGAAGTCTGCTAAGTGAAATTTAGCTGGAATACATTGAAATATGAAAAATGATACAAAGCTCAGAGAGACATTTCTGTCACAACTAATTTTGAATTGCCTACATCATGCAATTTCAAATCTCTATTTGTCTCAGATGCATGCTGCAAGAGGGATTTGCATGTATATGGCTACCTGTTTATTTGTAATAAACATATCTCATGATAACAGTGCACTCTTACAATTTAAAAGTTTTTTAACATACGAATTGAAATCATCTAACAAATTGCTAATAATGTCCACATAAACTTTTCCAGCTTTCCCATTTTAAAAAACATTCCTCCTTTTCAAGACTGTTTCTCACTCACTAGCTCAGTTGAAAGACTCACAAAGGGGACTAAGAGCTGTCTCAGTCCTTAACTAAAGGGACAAGGATACTGAATCTTCAACAGAAAAGGCTTTTCTTCCAACTGTTTCATAAGCAATAATCAAACCAAACAAAAAGTTTTAAATTGAAAAGTAAATGCTTCTTAGGCTGGTTTTACTATTTTGTGCATCTGTGCTATCATAAAGCCAATCACCACCAGGGCTGATCTTCTGAAGACCAGAGTATTGGGCATTAAACCCAAACTTTTAATGCAAAACATTCTCTCATTTTCCCCAACCTCTTGTGAAGCTCACACCAGAAAAAGGAAGGCTGCAAACCTAATTTCTCCTTCCTCTAAACAATTAATCTTTCAAAGGTTAAACAAAAAGTTAATCCCACCCAATCTAGTTTTATTTTATATGTTGATGACACCAATCCTTCATTCCATGACTGGATCCAGGTTTTGTAAAGTGGGATATGGGAACAGCAACTGGTGCTTCAGAGATGGGTGCACCCCTTACCCCCACCTCTCTCACCTCCTACCAGGATGGCCAGACCACACTGCAGGAGTAGCAGCCAGGGTCTCTTTAAAGTTCTGAAATTGGGAACTCTTGCACAATTCCCCTGCTCCCCAGCCCCATGCTCAACAGAACCTCCCCTCTTTCCATTCCCTCTTCTCCCACCCACTGTTGTCACTGTCCTTGCTGTATCTGCCTGCTCCAGGGGCCAAGGAAACTTGAGAGCCACTCCTAGTCTGCTCCAGATCCGTAGCATAGCATCCAGGCTCAGCAGCAGCTTCAGTGGAGGGGGGGAGGAACTGGTAGGGAGGAGGAACCCAGTGAGTGCTGCTGTCCCCAGCTGAGCTCAACTCCCTGCACAGTCCACTGGTGCAGAGTAGGAGCAGCTCTGGAGCTCCCCCACCCACAGGGCAGTGAGGGACAGCAGCTGCAGCACCTAAGACAAGAGGAAGGGATAGGGACATACTGCTAACAATGGAAGGGAATTCTTCCCTGATTTGGGAACCATAAAAAGATTTGAGTTCAAATTCAGCATGGCTGTGTAACAGGGCAGTCTGACCCCTTGAGGGAGCAGCCAGCCCTGTTGAATTAGCAGCTCCCCCTGCTGCAGCTATGGGGGAGCTGCTAATAATGGAGTGACTCACTAGGAGCTTAAAACCCCAGACAGGAGAGGAAAAAGGGAACCACAGGGTGCAGTTTGGAAGGAAGGAGCCAGCTGTGAATAACAACTTGCTACAGTGTAGAGCCATGCTGCTGTGCCTGGACCCAGAGCCAAAGGGGCTTCCCTCCAAATGCTTGCAACAGGGCATCAGGGTTTGTTTGTCTGTCTATTTGTCTGCAGCTTAAAGATAGTGTTTGAGTTGGGAGGAGTGGCTGACGAGCTCCTCAGGGAGCAAACCTGCCTGTCAAAGCCACCAGGCTAAGCAATCCGCTTACAAGCTACAATTAGCAAATGTATTATTTACAGAGCACAAATCATCTGCTTCATGAAGGGTGAATGTCTGTGCTGATGTCACACTTTTCAACTCATCAAAAGGCAAGCACCAGACAATTAGAATACTGTACCATGAGCCATGAATCCAGCTTTTCAATGGCAGGTTAAATAAAAGAATCCCTTCTACTCTGGCTCTTGACAAAAAAAAAAAATCAGGATTGAAATATCTCTGGAAGTGTTTTCATCAAACAGTTTTCACTAGCAACAACGCACCAAATGTATTCAAATGCTATAATACTGTATATTTAAAAGTGTTAGTAATAAACACAACAAAAAAGCTGACAAAAAACCCCCAAACAAACCCTTCAAGCAATTAATACAATGGAAAATTCTGAAAAGAAACACGAGGAGTCAGAAACTTTTACCCAATTTGTATTTGTGTATAAGAACTCAGTATAGCTTTATCCTTCAATTAAGTCATAATCCTGTAGCTGAAAGCTCAGTGCGTTTTCACAGGAGATGATCTGTACATTACGTTGCTAATTTAGTATTCTGAATGTACTGCAGGGTCAGGTGACAGGATGTAGTACAAGATTTGAAAATAAGTAGCTTAAAATTTGCAAAAGTGACTGAGGAAAACAAGGAAGGAAAACAAAAAAAGTTTCTGGTTACAGCTGGGGTTGTGATTATTTGAGCTTTTGTTGTACAATAAGAACATATATATTCTCTACATAGAAATCACAGAAAATTAGGTTTGGAAAGGACCACAGGAGGTCATCTAGTCCAGTGGTTTTTAACCTTCTTTTATTTGTGGACCCCTACAAAATTTTGAATGGAGGTGCAGACCCCTTTGAATTCTAAGTGTGGGCATTCACACACTTTTGATTAATCACAGTCATCTTTTGCAGATTCCTTAGACAGTCTGCAGACCACAGGTTGAAAACCACTGATCTAGTCAAATCCCCTGCTCAAAGTAGAGCCATCCCCACCTACATCATCCCAGCCAAGACTGTCTAGCTAGCTCCTAAATGCCTACAAGGACAGAGATTCTACCACCTCTCAGCATAACCTGTTCCAGTGCTTTACCATCCTCCTCATGAGAAAGTTTTTCCTAATATCCAACCTAAACTTCCCTCACTGCGACTCGAGACCATTGCTCCTTATTCTGTCATCTGCCATCACTAAGAACTACCCAGCTCCATCCTCTTTGGAACCGTTCTTCAGATAGTTGAAGGCTGCTATCAAACCTGCCCCTCAGTCTTGCCTTTTCCAGACTAAGTCCAGTTCCCTCAGCCTCTCCTCCAAAGCCATGTGCCTCAGCCTCCTCACCATTTCTGTTGCCCTCCGCTGAACTGTCTCCAATTTGTCTACATCCTTTCTGTAACAGAGGGACCAAAACTGAACACAATACTCCAGATGTGACTTCACCAGTGCCAAATATAGGAGAATAATCACTTCTCTTGCTCTGCTGGCAACACTCCTACTAATGCAACCCAGTATGATGTTAGCATTCTTTGCAACAAGAGCACATGTGGTATTAATTTAGTCCCATCGCCATCAGATCAGAACACCTCACAGCCTATAACACGTTTATCCTCACAGCACCTGTTGAGGTACAGAAGAACTATTATTCTATTACGCCTCCTCAGATGGGAGTAGGGCACAGAGAAACTAAGGGCTAAATCCACAAAGCATCATACCTCTTAACTTTTGGGCACCTGGCTCCCAGAGTAGGAGCTTAAATCCCTATGCAATACATGGGAAGAGAAAGGAAGAGCTGAATGAGTCGCAACTTATCCAGCAGGACAGTGGTTCAAACAAGGGTGGCCAAGGGGAGCACATTACTTCCTCCAATTGTTTTCAAAGAAAAGAGTGGCCTTTCCCTTGCACCCACCTTCCCTGGTCTATTTTTGAAGGGAACAATTTAGACACCTTGCTCCAGGTGAAAGTTTCAGACTGCAAATCTGATACTGACACACGTGTCTTCCTGAAGCACAGAAAAGGGATTTGAGATATACCATCCTTTTCAGTGCTTAGGTGGCTTGGTGCACAGCATGCTAGCTGTTATGATTCTCATTCAGTGGGTGGCTGGTGGCAGACTGGGTAAGAGACAAGCAGCACAACAGCAGATCAAGTGGGGAGAACAGATCTGGGAGCAGAAAGCAGAACAGGCATGGGAAAGATGAATGGATTAGATGGTCAACTTGAAGGTGCAGAGCTAATTTATGACCTGCCAAAAAAGATCGGTCCCCAACACACACAAACTGAGGAGTTTTTCCAGGATCAGAAGAAACACAGTGCAAGTTCCCAGTGTAAAGACAACAAAGCCCACCTCTCCAATGTACCAGGGAAGCGCCCTACCCAGGGGGCTAGAAGCTGTTCTGGTGTGAGGACACTTTCCATTCCTGATGAGGTGGAGGGCCAGACAGGACCTTGTACCTAGCCCAGTGATTAGGATCCTCAGCTGGGACTTGGGGGGGGGAGGGGGGAAGTGGGTTACACCTCCCCTCAAACAGGAAGACAGGAAGTCTTCCCCAGGACACTGCTGAACCTCCAGACAATCGAGTTTTGACTCATCATCGCCAGAGCTTAGGACTCTTTACCACTGTCACACACGGGAAACCCATGTTAAAGCACCCGAGTCAGGCACCAGCCGGCTGGAGGACACCAGCAGCTCGGGGGTGGGCAGTGAGCCGACTTCCCCGAGAGCTTGGAGAAGGGACAGGTAGGCACACGTGAGGGAGGAGCGCTGAGCAGCGCAGCCCGCGGGCCGGAGCCGGGGCCGCTGTGCTTGCAGCCCCAGCCGGGCTCCCTGGAGACGGGCGCTCGGCCTAGCCGCTTCCACCGGTTTGCAGCAGGTCCATGGAGGCGCCCGGCGCCAGATCCGCACAGGACCCAGCCGGGAGCGGGCTCTGGCAGGGCCCGGAGCACCCGCGGATGCTCCGACCCAGACCCCGACGGCCCCGCTCACCGCGTTTTTCTTCTGCACCATCTTGTCCATCTTCTTGGCGATGCGGATGATTTCGTCCTCCGCGGTCATGGCTGCCGGGGCCGGGGGGGGAGGGGGAGCTGCCGCCGCCCGGGCCCTGCGCACAAATGGAGCCAGGCCGCGGGCACGATCTCACCCAGCAGCCCGAGCGGCGCGGGCGGTCGAGCGGTGGCGCCAGGCAGCACGCATCGAGCCCTGAGCGCAGGAGCCAGGCAGCACTGGACGCGCGCCAAGAGCATGCGCTAGCGCGCGGGGAGGGCGGGGCCCGAGGAGGTGGAGAAGTTGTCCATGCCAGCGAGCCTGGCCGCGCACCGAAGCCTCGCTCTGGCCCCGCCCCTCCTGGCGGCTGTGGGAGGTGCGACTGGGGATTTGGGGGGGCGGGGCTGCTGGGGCTCGTCCAGTGCCTGCTGTCTAGAGCGGGGGGCGGGGTCTGTGAGGAGACTCCGGATTGGCGAGAAAGCGCAACACGCGCGCAGACGCACACACTCATCCCCCTCCCCCCTGCCGGGGGTGGCAGCTGCTACGCTCATTTCTCCAAAGCAGAGCAGAGCGCGTGTAGTCGGGCTCTTCGTTAAGGCCCCTGCCCGCCAAATTCAAGCTGGACAGGAACCAGAGTTGGGACGCGCTGGTTGTGCAGCAGGTTGGCTCTTTTTGTCACTGTGTCGTCATTTCTGTCCCGGAATAATTACTTGGCACCCGTGACAGCCTACATTTATGACCACTTTAAGCGGTTGTGTGTGGTACTACTGTAATTACTTTGCGCATGCGGCCCCTCTGAATGTATTGTGTGATTCTCTAGTTAAATTGCATGTCGGGTGTATCGGGTCTCCCCGGACAAGGTGTTTGTAAGACTTGGGTTGATGCAAATAAAGGCCTTTATGAATCCGCTCCAGACAAATTAGGGCAGGTTGCCTGCCCTTGGGTGCAGAACCACCCAGCTTCTCTCTCACCCACTGACTTCTCAATTTCCGTCTTCACTGACTGCTTAGCTTGCATGCAGCCCAGCCCAGCCCGGCCTCTGGCTTCTTTACTTTTCATTCCATCCAGGAAGCGCACACACCAACTGCAGAAACTTCCTCAGCCTGACGAAGGGTTGTTAAACCCAAAAGCTTGCTTAATTTTTTTTCCCCCAACTATTTAAGTTGGTCGAATAAAAGGGATCAGATTCACCCAAAGAACCTCGTGAACCTGAGGGTGATCTTTTGCCACCCATGACAAGTCAGGCGATGTAAATGCTGAGGCAGTGTTTGCCCTTCGCCACTGGGTTCCTGGGATGGGCTGTGTCCCTGCGGTTCTGTCCTGGAGTCAGCATTCAGTGGGGACCGGTGGGATAGTAAATAGCTTTACCTTTATTAGGAACAGGAGTCAGCAACACACACTCACAGCTTGCAGGGAGCACAACAACAGCCCACCACCAACAAACCACACCCACAGGGAACAGGGCCCTGTAAAGGTGCATTCCCTATACTACATCCCCCTTCTTTACTCTGGGAGCTCCCTCTTAAGTAGTTGAATGTTCATCAGTAGCTATTTTAACTCTGAACGTTTCGGGATCGTGGAGCCAGACGTGGCTAGCACTTGGCTCACCAATGGAGTTTAGCCTTTACCATTACATAGTCCTTGTACCTCACAGGCAACTTCACCACACATCCACTCTTGGTTTGTATGGTGCCATACACATTGGTGGAACTCTGTCATGGCAAAGACAATTGCCAGAAGTTCTTTTTCAGTCTGAGCATAATTTCTCTTAGCTTGTGCTAGAGCCCTCAAAGCATATGCAATTGGCTGCTTCTGCTGAAATAAACATGCTCCTAGGTCATCTTTGGACAGATCGGCTTGGATTTCTAGCTGCTCTGCTGTGCTTTACCTGAGCACAGGTTCTGTTGCGATGGTTTGCTTGAGCTTATCCAGGGCTTCCTGATGCTCGGGTCCGCATTGCCAGATAATGTTGTTCCTGAGAAGCACTCTCAGCGGGGCTGTCAAGCTGGACTCATGCAGAATGTATTGCACCAAGTACCGAATGGTTCCAAGGAGTCTCTGAAGGGCTTCTTTGTCTATTGGAGGGGGTATCCTGTTGATGGCTTCCACTTTGTCATCGTCTGGTTTGACACCATCTTTTTGAGAAGATATGGCCCAGATACCTAATGCTGTCGAGTAAAAACTGTATTTTGTTCTTATTAAACTTTACTCCTTTCAGGTGTGCTCTCTCCAGGACTTGTTTCAGGATAGTATCATGCTTCTCTTTGGTAGCTGCCACATGTCATCCACGATTATGTGGATTCGCAGAATGTCACCAAAGCACTCATGATTCTTCTGTTGGAATACAGGCAGTCCTCAGCTTAATCTGTTTGAGTTACAACGTTTCACACTTACAACGTTTCTAAATTAACACCCTGTTTCAACTTTCTGATGTCAGTTTCGACTTTACAATGCTTGATCTGATGTGATGCCATGCCAGCGAACAAGCCGCTGTGTCACCCATCTCCCTGGAGAACATCTGTCCAAACTTTCTTGGACGCTTTCTTTAAGAAAACAGGCAAGACTCCAGAAAAACCTGCAGCCAAGATTGCTGAGAAGAATCCAGCCAAGAGCCTTTCAAAAAGTCCAGCAAAATCACCTCAAAGAAGTCCTTCCAAATCAATATGGTTGCTATTTACAATATAAATACATTAATGTAGCTATATTACTCATCTATAATTGACTGAGTACGTAATTCTGGGTTATTTTTGGTGAAAATAGGGTATCGAGCCTTGGTTCAGGAACCAATCCCCCATTTATAACATTGTTTCCTATGGGAAAATCGGTTCCAAGTTGCAATGTTTTGACTTAAGACACGGTTTTCAGGAACCAATTATGTCATAAGTCCGAGGACTGCCTGTACTTCGCTAGCCAACTTAATACAAAAGGGAAGGAGATTGAAGTGGAACCGTCCCCGTGGGGTGTTAAAGATACACAGCTCTGCCGATTCCTTGTCCAATTTGACTTGCCAGTAGGTGTCCTTTTCATCAAGAATGGTGAACAGCTTTTTACCTGACAAGCTCTTTTGCACATCCTCTACAGTGGGAATAAAAAAGTGCTGCCTCACTACTGCCTTGCTGAGGTCTTGTGGGTCTAAACAAAGCTGTAGTGAACCATCCTTCTTTTGTGGGATCACAAGGCTATTGACCCAGGGTGTGGGCTTAGTCACCTTCATAATGACTCTCATAGCTTCCAGTGTTTTGAGGGGGTCTTCAATTTGCCTAAGGTTGCATAGGAAATTTGTCTACACCCGTGCACTACTGGTGGTACCACCAGGACAACATAGATGTGGTGGGTCCCAGGAAATTGGCCCAACCCTTCGAAAACGTACTGGTATAGTTTGAGAAGGTCCACCTTGGTTGCGGGTGTAACCTGGGTGGCGGCCCAATAGTTGCCACCCCTGCCCAAATATCAGGGATGGTGTGGTAAGAGTGGGGCAGGGCTTCTGGCCAGCACCAATTTACTTTCCAGCCAGTCCCTGCTCCCCACAGAGCAGCCTCTGGTCCCAAGAAGGTCTAACACTTAGCTGATTTAACTATTTACACTTTATTTACAAAACAAGAATAATAGGAAAGATTATTTACAAGTGAACTTAAATGGCATAACCAGAATCACAAAACAAACCAGAATGCATTAGTCAACCCTTGACTCAAGAACCACAGGTAGGTAACTGGCAGCTTTCAGTCACTGCTGAGATGCTACAGCAAGGAAGCAGGGTGCTCACTTCCAGCAGCTCCAACAGGCTTCCCAATAAGCGACAGACTGCAACAGTGTAGGCTCTTCTGGTCTGCAGCACTCAAATTGTATCAAACCCCAACCCCTGAAAGAGGCTGAGGGGTGACCCTCCATGGCAACCAAAAGGCAAGCAACAGAGTAGGGTCCTGCAGCAATCGGCATGACCCAAGCACAAAACTCAGGAACTCCATCCGATGACAATCAGCTGCAGAATAAGGGACAGGACTGAGTCCCCTCTGGGGGCAGTCAGTGGCTGAGGGTCAGCAGCACAGGTAGGTCCAAAGGGTTGTTGCTCTACACCCCTACTCCAGATGACTGGCCGGAGGTTTGAAATGCTCCATTTTTTTTTCTTTTGAATGAAAGCTTTGACCCCCTTAATCAGGCTGCTGGTGATTCTACTGAGAGAGGTCGCTTCTGACACCATATCGTGTTTGTCCTTGGCCACTGGGTTCCTGGGATGGGGTAATCACTCAGACCTCCATGCCCCTGGAGTTCTGTCCTCGAGTCAGCTGAGACCGGTGGGATGGTAAACAGCTTTATCTTTTTAGGAACGGGATTCAGCAGCACCCACACTCACAGCTTGCAGAGAGAACAACAACCCACTACCAACAAACTGCACACACCAGGCATCAGGGGGAAAGACAGAAATGTTCCACTGCAGGCCCTGTAAAGTTACATTCCATATAGTGTACCACAAAGTCAAGCAGCTGTTTTAGGATGAGCACACACATTTTAACTCCAAATTGTTCAGAAGACAGAAAATTCCAAATGTTTCCAAAGAAAATACAGGGACCAAACTCACTCAGTATGGGATGAAGTAGGCCATCACGTACAAAAGTTCATGCCCTTCTGAACTAGCTAGTCTCTAAGGTGGCACCTGCCCTATCTTCTGCCAAACTTAAGTATTGGTGCAATGCTGCTCTTGTCTATAATTATTCAGCCAGGAGGAGTAGCTAACTCGCCCTCCCCATTTCTTTCTTATTCATTTGTCTCCTCCAAAGTAAAATCATAAAAAAAAATGAAAAAGAAGTAGCAGCATGATATTAGCTGGCACCTTTCTACATGTTATGACTCTTCCCATATGAGGCTGAATTTGGTTCCTTATTCCCAGTTCCATATTCCTGGTTCCCTATTACTTATTTCCAGTTCCTTATTCCCAGTTCCATATTCCTGGTTCCCTATTCCCAGTTCCTTTTTCAAAGCTAATCTAGACACAATAAAAACTTGTTATTAATGAATTACACATCCTGAAGACACAGAATTTCATTAGCTACGCATAGGTACTAATTAATATGTAAAATAGCATCTCTCTTTTAGTACAGAGCCCTAAACGAAGGTCAGATTAGGATGGGATTATACGGCAAAGTACTTCTTGGGCCACCCCAAATTTTGTGGTGATGCCACTGCAGGACTGTC